TGCTGTTGCTGTTGCTGTTGCTGCTGCTGTTGCTGTTGCTGTTGCTGTTGCTGTCGTTGTTGCTGTTGCTGTTGTTGTTGTTGTTGTTGTTGTTGTTGTTGTTGTTGTTGTTGTTGTTGTTGTATTGGCTGCAAAATACAACAACAGTAAAAGCAACAGCAAAGTATGATAATTATAGAGGCATATTGCAGATTGATGACGAAGATGGTGATGATACGTCCATTAGCAGCAAGGCAAGTGAGTGTCCTGACCAAGGAGCCAGTATGGCATCAGCTCCGCCACAGGCTGGTTGGCTGCCTTTTCTGCTGGTGGTCTGGCATTGGTGGTGGCTGTCATCAAGGCACTGGGTGACGTATGGGCCGCGGCAGAGAAGAACCGCTGTGCACATCAGGCTGCGTGGACATTGGCCTGTGACAGCTGCTCGGGTGGTTGTTGCAGCGGCCTGGCTGCCTTGACTGATTGAAGGCCAGATCAGCTCAAGTTTGACTCCTGTGGCGACAAGCCCAAGCAGCTTCCCAGGTCAAGTCCGTAGTGCTGTCGAGCATGCACTGACCAGTGGCTGGCTCAGCAGAGGGAGCCATCTTGCACGCAGCTTCCAGAAGACCGTGGTTGCAGCACATTCGCCTCCTGACCTGAACCCAGGCATTCTCACCTTGTTCGTGTTCTTCGTGGGGGTCATAGCGGCCGGCGTGGTGGTTGCAGGCTTTGCTGCTCTCATTGGCTACTATGTCACTGCATCTCCGGCTTGTTCAGACTTTCTTCCCCCCACGCTTGGGCACTTTCGAGGGGCGCCCTCTCTTCACCAAGGCAAGGCGGCGCGAAGGAAAGCCAATGTTGCCGCATGAAGTCGCGACAAAGTCTCCAGACTGCTGTGGTGACAATGCAGACTCTGGCACTGATTCGGAGTCAGCCGAAGATGACGATGAGCTGAACGCAGGAGCTTAAAAAAGTGGCCTGTTGGATGAAGATTCCGGGAAATTATTGCAAAGGTGCTTTTCAGCCTGCGGCCGCCTTCTCGCCTCCTGACTTCGGCCGCCTTTTTCCACCAATACAAAACCAATTGGAAACCTGAAAACCCCCTCAGGCGCAGGCGAATGTCACTTAGCAAGGATACCACAAAAACCCGAGGGTTCCGGTGCAGAAAGTTGTCTGAACTGTCCTGAGAAGTGCCTAGGATGGCTCGAGTCGGGCAGCCTTGGATCAGGCCCGGTTCTCGTGGACATTTGCTGTAGAGCTCTTGGGTGAGTTGCAGTGCACTCTCTGTCCAGTAAAATGGTTTGCTCGGCTGGAAGCTTGTGCACAACAAGCAATGCAGGCAAAGCGGTTGGTGACCGCTTGCTCCGGGGCATGGATGGCAGAATCGCGCTCAGCATGCTTTGTGCTTGTTCGAGCGTTTGCAGCTGCAAGCCGAAGCCCGTGAAAATGGACCATCATGGCCGATGGCGCAGTTTAAAGATGTTGCGAGGCTTGTTGAGAGTGAACTGCTCTGGTCCAGAGTTTGGCAGGTCCTGGTAAAGGAAGTTAAGAAAGCATGTGTCCAGCTAGTGCAAGAAAATGTACGGCACATAGCTTACCTAACGGGTATTCGGGTCTCTGGCTTGTTCGAACATCAAGCTACAAAACTTGCAGGATGTAGGACAATCCAGTTACATAACCTGGGGTACATAGTTGCCACCGGTGCTACTGTCGTGTATCGCGACGTCCTAGGCTACGAAGCAGGGCGCGGATTCGGTCCTTTGGAAGCCAGCTTGGCTGCAGCCTCGGTATTGACGGTGGGATGGAGAAGCCGGATCAGGAAACTTCCTCTGTCTATCCTTCGGAGGAGAAACAGTGGCGCCTGCTCCTGCGCATGCGCGCGTGCGAGTGCATTAGTGTGGGTGCGCACGTAGATAATATGACACAACATAAGCAAGATAGAGAGAGAGAGAGAGAGCGACTTGAGTAGCCATTTTGGCTCAAGTGCTGCACCGTCCGATCTTGTTTCTTCTCCGAAGGAGGGGCCACGGTATCCCACAAGATGAGCGGCCTACGAACGCACGGTTTATCAATGCAAATCCCAGCTGCCGGAAGACAGCCTGCACGACATTTGTTCTTTTTGAGCTTTTGAGATCCAGACTCATCCTGTACCGGCCTTCACTTTCCTTCCGATAGTAATAATAATTTGCATGCCATGTTCGCGAGGTATCTCCAACACAGAAGCTGACAGAGTCCATGTAAGTAGCCAGATCGAGTACCATTAAAAGTGGCCGATGCATCTGTGTGGTTTTGCACCGCGGCCCAGAACAGACGAGCGATATCTTCGTGTTGCCGGTGCTGTCATCCCGCAACTGCCTAGAGTGCCTACTTACTGGATCCGTAGGATGTGAGGACCGTCTAGTGTGTGGGGATTTGTCGTGAGTCCCTCGTGCCCGTTGTGTATCAAGTGTACGGTTGTAGTTGTCGTACGTTTTGCATGTTCCGAGCACCAGTCAGTGGCGAAATAGTTGATTTTCAATGTAGACATGATACTGAAGGTTGACATGATACTATGTAGAGATACTGAAGACACCAGGCAGCTTTGGAGGCTTGAAAACTATTCGGGATACGACTCAAGGATACCACTGGCCATTGACCAGTGTTGCAGCCCCGACTTCTTGAGCTTCACTATCGCGAGCGAGTTGAGAGAAGGGTCCTGTACGAGTAGCAAGTTATGTTGGTAAGAGGAGAGATCGTAGTAACATGTTGTATTAATGGCAGTGGTAGTGATACTTTATGTGTGATGATGGCAGTGGTTGCAACAGTGACAATGATTCCGGGCATTGGCTATTGATTGTTGGCGGAATTTTAGGCACAAATGTGGCAGCAATGAAATGTCAGGGCATATGTTATCGCTTTTCGCGGGTTTTGACCAAATGCGGCATCCAAGCGTCAGTAAAGCGATACCTTTTTTCGCCAGAACCCTGAATAGCGATCGGACCCCCCGAACACAAAATCCTCCATGGTTGGGCCAGAAGCAAGAAGTTGCAGCGAACGCTCATTATATATATATATATAATTATATAATTATATAAGTATATAATTATATAAATATACAATTATATATATATATATATGTATGTATGTATGTATGTATGTATGTATGTATGTGTGTATGTGTGTATGTGTGTATGTGTATGTGTGCATCTCTGTTTCTCAGTCTCGCTCTCTCTCTCTCTCTCTCCCCCTCCCTCTGTTCGAGATCAAACGGGCACGGACTCCACACATGCCTTTGCCCATAAGCATAACGTATGGATGGATGGATGGATGGATGGATGGATGGATGGATGGATGGATGGATGGATGGATGGATGTGTTTGTGTGGGGGGGTGTTGTGTGCGCATGCAAAGAGAGGCACATGCAGGCGTGCGCGAACACTGGTACTTTAGATCCGACTGTGCCACCGAGAGACCTCTGATGAGGTCTCAGATGCTGCGGCGTTCCCTCAACCGGATGTACAAGGCCCAGCAATGCAAGGCGACAGCTGTTGTCCAGATAACCCACGTGGTTTCCATTTCAGCGCAGGCAGACGACGGCTTGGCTCGTGAGTGGTGCAGCTGGCTCCACACTCAAGTCTAACCCAGACGAGTTTGCATTGGCAGTTGACACGTCACGAGGCTTTCCGCTCTTCGGCAGGCTGGATCAATGACAGAAGCCTCTGCTTGTTTATTTGAATGCGTCGTGCAAGCATCGGTTAGAGATGCAAGCGGCGAAAGAAGACTACATGCGCAGGGACGATTCCAAATCCTTCTTTTTGCAGAGGTGCAGCTGGCACGGCTGTGTCCCGGACTGGATCTGGATGCACAGCTTAGGCGTCGAACCAAGAACCTGGAATTTGCAGCAAGTACGGCAAGCGGCCGTCACGAGCAGCTCTGCGTGTCAGGGCTCTTGTGTTGAAGTTTCATACATAGCCGCGAACAGGCTTCTTCGAGCAGTGACACTGGCAGTACCCTCAGCGAAGGCCTGGAGAAATCACATAATGGCGGACATGAGCCGGTCGGCACGTCGCATCGTCGCAGCGAAATCGGGTTGGAATCCATCTCTGCCTCCTTTCGACAGCTTTGTCCGATGCCAACCAGGCCGCCAGCGATGCGGCCGCACCCGCACATGCCTGAGTTGAGCCAGCCAAGCTGAGAAGGCAATCAAGCACCTGGCCCAGAAGCCTTCTCCTCGCAGGAAAGGAAAGCCAAGACAAGCAAAGCATGATTCAAAGTGGCTTTGACTTGGCGTGAAGTTGAAGAATACACTCTCCCTCGGAAGTGGTAGATGCACCACCACAGGCCGAATCTCCTCTTAGCCATTCGGTCAGTCAAGGTCGTCCTTCCACTTGGCCTCTTCACCTTCTGGCAGGTTCACCGCTCTCGCCTCTCCCTGTAGCACAGTGCTGAGGTACGTTGCAGGACTGCCCTATTGAAGAACCCAACTCACACGAATCAGGATCTTTGCCCTGCAGCTTTCAGCTCACACCTGACGAACGGCATGGAGACATCATTGCACGAGCATCCTGACCAAGAAATTTCACAGCCAATCCGGCCACGGAACCAGCAGCTCCTGCACCGTGCCCGTCCCTTGGGACCGTGACAGCCAGTCAGGCGGCAGACAGCAACACCGATAGAGCTGTAGCATACCCTAAGCCACGGGACATGTTGCTGAACATGGCTTGGTGAGCGGCCGGCAGAATGGTGTCCGATGCACGGTCTAGGCCTGGCAACTGCGAAATTCCTCGGCTTCCGAAGCATTCCTGTTAGCCATTCCATCTTGCATTGGTCACGACATCCCCACTTGTCCGAGTCTGTCGTGGTTGCAGCAGTGCCGCCTTTTGCCGCGAGCCCGGCTTAATCATGGAAACCAGGCAGCAGCGCCGCGATGGTGCTCGCTCGCGAAAGACCAGACAATCGGACTCCAATGTCTCGTCCTAAGTGCGGAGTGTTGGACACGAGAGGGGACAAACCTATGCCGAATGCATGCCATGTGCCATCTTCGCGCGTGAGTCGGAGCAAAGAGATGCTGCCGTAGCAGGAAGTGTGCAACAGACACTCAGACGGGAGGGCTCAGTTGCTGGCCACGGTTTTAGTGCACATGCTTAGCGAGTCTTTCCACCACTGACAGATGGCCCATGAGCTGCTAGCAGATACTGTGACGGTACTGCCATGGTCGCCATGGCGGCTGGGTCTCGGCTTATCTGTTTGAACAATGTCCCAATGGAAATCGAGCTGACAAAGGAGGGGTCAGCAGACTTGGCAGTGACTGCTGCGCATTTCGTTGCAGTCACAGTGCGCTGTTTGCCTATCCAGGAGCCTTTGCGAGTTGGGCGTTCTGTGCAGCCTTTGCCTGTCTGGCAGCAGCTCATTCCAGATGAAGCAACAAGGAACACCATATCTCGCATTCACTTCGAGGCTCTTCAGACCGGTTCGTGGTTTATCGTCGCTCTTGCTGTGACTTTCTGGTGGAGTGCTGTTTCTTAGCACAAAGGGGTACTAACTGGTGTGTTGTACCCGCTGCAGGTGGTGCGGCAGGGTGGTGCCTTCTTGCTGCGGAACCTGAGTGCGCAAGGCACACTCGTAAATGGATCTACTGTGGAGGAGGTGATCCTGAAGAATGGAGATATTATCAGCATGGGGCAGGTGGGGTCCGAGTATGGCAACAGGCCAGCCCTGCAGTTCAAGGTGCATCTCTGCGAGGACCTGATAGCCAAAGCATCTTTTTCTGTGCGCCTTTGGTGGCTCCTTCCAGGTCCGCAAACTAAAGTTCATAGATACTTCAGACTGTAGGTTTGTTGTCCCGGTTGCGCGGGGGATCCTGCTTCGTCTTTTCAGCACGCGCGATACGTACACTCCAGGTGCAAATGGCACCGGACCCACGGTGCTGAACAAACAGCTCTTGGCTGGGCCATCGGGCGCTGTACGTGTAGGCCGAGCCATGCAGCCCATCGAATTTTGGCAGACGCTGGTTCCGGATGAGAGCTTGAGAAATGCAATCTCACGCGAGCATTTCGATGTGTGTCCGACAGCTGATGGCGTCATGCTCATCAACCGCAGCATCGCCGGCACTTTACACAATGGCGTTCTCGTGCAACACCAGACCCGAGTGAGCAGCGGTGATGTTCTTGCCATCCCGTTACACAACCAGCCAACAGAGCCTCCAATCGTTCAATTTCGCCTAGAGTGTGCAGCTATTCCCGATCCTGACTTCGAAGATGGGGCACCGCCCCGTCTGCTCGGTGCAAAGGCTGGGAGCGTCGATGCCGCTCTCTCGCCAAAGGAGAAGGAGGCCGCCGACGTGGTGAAGATTGCTGTGGATGCGCTCCCTCCACCTTTCTCTCTCGAATGTGTGGCTGCAAGGGGCGCTGAAGGGAGAGATTTGGAGCAACTTCCCACGGCCTCCCGCGTTTTAGCTGCAAGCTTCTCGCAGGTTGAGCTCTCCGTGGGATCCTCGCATCAATCCGGAGATTTCTGGGAAATGCTGATAAGAGATCCAGCTCTCCGCACCCAGATACTGCCGCTGCATTTCCGACTTGAAATGGCTCAGCTTAGCGATGGGCCCATGCTGATACTCGATGCGCATGCTGCGACTGAGCTCAACGGCAAACTCGTAGAAGGCAAGGCGCCGGTTTTGCAAAACGACTTGATAAGTATCGCTGGCACTACCAACAGCTTGACAGACGATGTCCCTTTGGTGTGCTTCCGCATCTTTGGTCGCGATTGATGCCATGACAAGTCTTTTGTTTGAAACTTTGTTCTTGAAACAAGTGGTCTGCTTTTCACAAGGGTCAGTGATGAAACCAAGGAGTGAATTCGGCACTGAGCTAACGCAAGCCCTTTGCAAGGAATCCTTGTGAAGCTTCACGTGGGCACACGCCCGTCGGTGTGCAAACTTCTCCCAAAGTAGGGATCTGACAGCTAGCACTCGAACTGATTCGACCGATCCACTTACACACCGATGGATTGGTATGTGCGTAAAATGCTGGTAGAGCACAGCTGATTACCGACGCAGAAGGTGCAACCAGTGACAAGGCATTATCGGAATGACACCGTGCCATGAGCTGTAAACTCTAATGAAGGAGCTGATGTTTAACCATGCTTTCAGATCATGACGCTTTCAGGTACCTTTTGTGAAGCAAAGCAAAGGCATCGAGCGGGTGTCCAAAGATGCCTTGGCAATCGGCTCTCAGCCCGGTGTACAGCCCATGCTCGAAGATGATTTCATGCATTGCGCAAACAGAAGGCAGAGGATGCGTCATGAAACCGTGCAGCGGTTCACTTCCGCCGCTTGCCTTGCGAAGTGGTCCGAGGCCGGAGGTTCGCTTCGTACACGAGTAGTGGTTTGCGGCTCATTGCTGCTGGTTGGGGGAGCGCTGCTGCTGTCCGAGGCCTGCCCCGTCTCTAAAGCCATGTGTACGAGCATTCATCCCTGCACCCAAGGCATCCATCGGCGCGCGGTCAAAAACTTGGGCCGGCGCACCCTGCTCAGGGAGTGCACGGCACATTTGGGTACACGCCGTACACTCCAGATCTGACCTGACAAGACGGCCATTGCCAAAGCCATGGCAGACTTGTGGTCCAACTATATGTCCAACACAAAGCCGTGCCCAGGTCATCCTGGAGCGCACGTCTCGGTTCTATGGCGTGTTGGTTGCATTAGGCAAGGGAGGCCTAGCCCACAAGACCGCGGCGAGAAGTGGTGTGGTGTCCATGCGTAGCATGCGCAGCCCACACCTCTTCCGTCCAGCCGAGGAAGCCCCTCGCAGCTGGCAGCTGCATCGCTGAATCTGCAGGATCGAGCTTTGGGGGCTTTGCCCAATTGATTGTATATTGTATAGCACCTACAAGTACGGCACCTACACCTACAAGCTGCCAGGAAGGCACGCCTGATGCTTCGGATTCGCCTGCCAGAGCCGCTTATGGGCAGTTGTGGGCACGGTTCGCCTTCAGGGCTGAAGTCTACCTCGGTGGGGCATGTGATTCTGTGCACATGAGTTGTTGTTCCTGGCCACCCAGGCTCCCGTCGCTTCACCTCTACCACCACCTTTGCCAGTGCCCACGCCGTCGTTGCTGCCGGCACCAGCGCCGGAAGCTACATCATCAGCACCGGCAGCAGCGCCGCCGAGCGGTGCTTTGAAGTCTTGCCTCGCATTCGTGCATATTCCTAAGGCCGGGGAAAGGCACCGTCTTAGATGGTTGTGTCTTGCTGCTAGTCGCAGGCAGCAGGATCGAACGTTGAGGGTGTCATAGCACGGGCTTTTGGTGGGGGCCTCAAGGCCTCAAGGCATGCACCTCTGATCATGTACCTGTCACGCATCAACCAGAGAGATGTGTGCCGCCGAGGTTATAACCAGGTCGTTGAGAATCCAGGTGATTGCAGCTTTGCGTTTGTTTTCAGCTGATACCAGATACCAACCTGGGCTTGAGGAGTACTTGGATTCCATGGGGTTGCAGCAGGGTGTTACTGACAGGTGGAGCCGGGATTTCAGATCTGGTCTGTCGCTGCCTGCTCCTGCACAAATCGAGGCATCTCGATGCGAAAAATCGAGAACGTAGTCCGCTTTTGGGGCATGTGCGACGACAGGCTACAGTGTGCAGCTTGCCTGCATATCACTTGGGTCATTCGATGTCCGTGTGCTGCCACACTAACTTCAAGTCGCGCAGACAGGGTCTCGGGAACTTCCGTAGCTCATTCGGGATGCTGGTGAATGACCACCAAGCATCGAGAGGAACACGTGCTGATACTCGTGCTAGCTGCTAGCATTTGCCTCCACAATTGTTTGGTCGGTCATGCTATTCAGCATATTGCCGGCGTCGCCACTGTAGACGTGCAGTCTTGAGTACTGCGCAGGTGGATGTGGTGATGTGTTGCTTTCGCTGCGCTTGCCACGTGTGATAAGTGATAAGCGTTTGCCTCCATGCAGATAATCGATGCTGGTGCCTGTGCCCACCGAGGAAACCAAGAAGCACTGCGGCTGGTCTGGCTATGGTCTCAGACGAACCACTCCGCTCCATGTCGAATCGATGGTCATGCGCGCGTTCTGTCTTTGTCTCTTTTCGTCCAAGGTGCCGACTGCTGCTGCAGAGCTGCAATTGTGTGAAGCCTTGCCTGCCTTGTGCGAGGGGTCGAAAGCTGAATTGTCGAAAGCCGGGATGGATGTCCACGTCGGGTCTAGAGTCAGAGCCTTTGCCGCCTGCCCATTCTTCTTCGAAACTGAGGCTATGTAAACAAATCCTTCGTGCCGCCCCCTACGCCCAACAAGGGTGTGGTCGCTTGGATACACCTCCACACACCTCTAGCCTAAGCCACGCTCGCGCGGCTCTTAGGATCGGTGCAGCTTTTGGCACTTTCCTCCCGCCTGGGATGCGCAGCTCGCGTTGGTCTCATTTCCGTATGAAAACCGTCTGCAAGTCTTTGAGACACCAGCATCGCAGACGACCCCGGCTGAGGCGAAAGCATACAGTGAAGACTGCGACTCGTTCTGCGTAGTTCGAGAACCTCTAAGTCGCTTTTTGAGCCATTGGAGGCATATGAGCTCGGTCTTCAAGCAGCAGTTGTGTTACTTTTGAGTGGCTGGATGACAGGTGGAGGCACTTCAGCAAGCCGTCGGACTGCTCACCTGAAGTACTGGAGAAGTACACACAGGCTGGTCGGAGCGCTTCGGCAAATGTTGGGTTGGAGCCTGTCTCACTTCAGACCGACACTGTGAACCGCTAAATGTGGTATGAATCGGTATAAACACCACCAAGATCTTGGGGCGCCACGAAGAACTTGGGAGCCCCGGAAGCATGTTTCGCCTCTCGGCAGGAGAAACTCGGCCAAGCCCGGGAAGATGCCTTGCTGGAGGATTGCCATTTCACGCCGCAGGCTTTGCAGGGCCAGGGTCATCATTGAAAGTCGCCTGGAAGCCAGTACCTAAATTCACCAGGAGTGCAGCAAAACGAATCACACGCCTTGAATGTAAGATGCACGGGACATCCGCGCGCGTTGCAGGTATACTACGCCTTCCAGAACGGCCCCCTGGCCGCTAAGGTTAGAACGCCTGTAGGCTTTGCCGAAGGTTTTGGCAGAAGACGCGGCTGCTTGTATCAGGTGTTCGTGCTTACTTGCACGAAGACACTTGTGATGGATGAGTCGATGGGCAGGTAGATCAGCTGATGTTCTTGGCTTGACACGTGTCAAGGCGATCACAGAGCTTCTCGGATATGTCGGCACATAATCAAGCTGGAGCATCTGGATGCAGAGTTCGCTCCATTGATGGCGCAGTACAACCTTGAGAAGGCCGGCGAGTTCTTTATTGCTGGATCCGGACGAGACTGAAGCAGTGCGGCAACAGCAAGACTTCAGCACTTTGGCATGTTTGTTCGATGAATGAAATCGTGCACGAGGTGCACCTCGGAAAAGGAAAGTCTCGCTCCAGCATCAAAGCTGCACTTGAATTGCAGTGACCCCCGCGTTTGCGCGTGTTTTGGCACTCCGCGACCAGCTTCTGCGTTGCAGAACCTGCGGACCTGCTTAGATTGCTTAACCGGCGTTGGAGAGCTCTCAGAGAGGCAAGAAGTGCGACATAGTCCCCACGGACGCGACCCTTAAGCTGATCAAGGAGGGTGCAGGGAGTGCTTTCGTCCTGGGCGCGGTTTTGCAGGTTCCTGACCATAGCATCGGCATCGCAAGTCCTGTCGCTGGTCATTTGCCGTATCACCTCGCAGCACAAGTCGCGTGCAGAACTCCGAGGCCCATCTTCTCACTGCGACGTAAATGCAAAAGCGAAATCAAGTCCACAATAACAGCCCGAAGTGAAACTATGGTTATATTTGCAGTGGGAATGTCCGAGCGTGTTGGCGAAGTGTGGAGGATATAGCTCGTGTGTCGCGTTCGTCCGAAGCCTAAGAGGAGCTCGCGCCCTTCGAGAAGCAACGATCATGCGCTGCTTTCACACCACCAGCACATACATTGTAGTCAAGATTCCTTGCATTGCAGCTGTCTTGGCAGTAGGGTCGGCAGGATTTCTACGCAGCGGACTACAAGGCCCAGCCTGATTGCATGGGATTGACGAGGTGATCCTGTCTCTTCGCCACATCAAGCGTAGATTCGGAATGACGCATCGTGTCTGTAGGCCTTCGGCTACGAGTAGAGACACCAAGCGAGATGACATGAGAAGGGAAGTCGCTTCGGGGAAGCCTGCCCCATGGCTTTCGACTTCAGAGGTCAGACAATGCAGGATGGACACAGCTCAAATCCCCGGTTTGCTTGTGGCATCTTGTGGTGCAGTGCAGCCTGCAGACGCCACAACGCAGCTCCCCAAAGCTTGGGATGCTTCGATTCCGTGGATAAGTGGCTGAAGCAGGGGTTGAAAGCAAAAGCGAGGTGTAATCCGGCAGGCCATAACTGGCTGTTAGCAGCTGTGCGTCTGCTGCGACAGTCCACAAGAATCTCCCGCTGTGTTCAGTGATGCTACTTCGGCGTTTGCATGCGAAACCTTGGGACATCTTGGACTGCATGTGCCCGATTCAAAGAGATACTGAATGCAGGCCTCAGTCGTGCTATGCGACCCTGCTTAGCCAAGAGCACGCAAAGCTCACACCAGTGTTTGGTTGCTTGAACAGCTTCAGTGCTGTTCTCCAGCCATGGATGTCAACACAGACCTAGCAGCTGCATTGCCATAGAGTGGCATCATGCTGGCAGTGCCATGGCCGCACTTGATCAATCCATGCGGGTGTTGCGTCAAGTTCCACCTGCAGAGGCAGACAAGCTCGAATTGACAAGCTTCTCGGCACCGCGCATTATTTATCAAACTTACCCTGCTGACTTGCTGTTAGATGTTGTTCGCCACATATTCTGATCAACTCGGAAGGCTTGATCAAGAAGAGTGCCACTGACTTGAAGGGCAAGGACGAGCAGCTGTGTTTGTTGCAGCGGGTCCTGGCAGAGCTCGGAGGAGCTGGAGCTGAACAAGAGCAACTTCGAAGCTGTCGGCACGCAAGCCGCCGTGCTGGCTGGCTTCGCTGTTTGCATGATTGCAGCACGGCAAGCCTGGCTCTGACGGCGTAATGAGGGGATCTTGAGTTTCCGAGGGCTCAGTCAAAAGATGAGATCCCCGAGGCATAAAATGTGACACCAGCTCAGCTGAAGGTGAAGATTGATTTCCCGGAGGATGTCAATCCTTTGAGCAGTTCGTTGTACTATTTCTTTGCGGTGGTGAATCTCGTGGGAAACATCGCTCCTCGGCTCTTGCTGGCGGACTCTGCTTGAACACGCCTCCCAGCTTGTGTCAGGCCTGCGTGGCATCGGTGGCGTGTGTGAACATCATGGGAACCAGTCTTGGACTGCGCGGGCCAGATGGATCCATGCTGCAGGCAGCCGATGGCATGCACAAACAGAGACTCGGCAAAACCTGAGCAGTTCTCAAGTCGGCTGGAAAAGCGAACAGTGTTGCAGCTAGTAGTGAGTAGTAGTGTCGAAACCGGATGCTCGCTCGCCCTAGGCGGCGAAATCATTTGAAGCCGACATAAACTTGACAGCCGGAGCCTGCGGTGAATTGTTTCTCTGATGGCTGGCAAAGGAGAGACCGTATCTTCTGGGCTTTCACCACCGCGCTGGTTGGTTGCGCCCTGGTTTCTCGGCCATTGCTTGGGCAAGGGACTGCAAGCATAAAGTGTTTGAAGTAGAATCTTGAGCAACTGATGCTACGATGCTTGCCCAAACGGCGACTTGTCATGAGGAGCTGCAGCAGGACAAATAGTCACAGTCTTGCCAGCGAGCATTGGGCCATATTGGGCTCACGAAAACCGCGCCCCGAGCAGGAGCCTTTTCCTCTATGGACAAGTTGCAGCGCAAATTTTGTGATGTTTGTTCAGAAAACAGTGATGAGCCAGGCAACTCTTGTTTTGGCTTGGCTGAAGATGCAGTCACTCGGCAAGGACAAGGATCACGTGTGTTTCGCTGATTGGAGTTTGCAGCTAGGTTTCGTGCCTTCCAAGGCCTGTCACCGCCGCTCTGTGCACCGCAGTGGTGCTGTACGGCGTAGCCTCAGGACGGGAAGCCTTCTCGGCTTACATGATGAGAAGCAGCATCCACGACACAGTCCCGGAGACATGTTGACTTGAAACAAAGCAAGATATGTTGCCGGATGTGGACTGTTTGTCGCTGCCAGCACAGGAGTCAAAGTGTCACTGCACGTCCAGACTCTTGGCTGCAATTGCTGTGTGCACACCAAGTAACGGCCCTAGTGATCGCTGTTCGTGAGTTGTCTGTGTTTACGACATGATTGGCCAGGAACCTTTTCCAGTACAAGGAGACCGAGTCCGGTAAGGTGGATGACGTGCAGCCTGGCATGCAAGATGTGCTGCAGTGAACGAGTCAGCAGCCGTGCCCGGCGATGCACGGACCCAGACTTGACCGCGGCCTATTCCTTTTGAAGGTTTATGCCATGTCAAAGCTTGTCGCCTTCGGATCTCAGGCTAAGCTCCGAGACTGTGGGCCCGGAATCCTTCGTCCGACAACTGGGCGCGGCTCATCTCATAGCTGCACACGAAGCGTTCAACCATCTGCGAGGTCGCACTGGTTAGACCATATCGATGAACTGAGGTTGACAGTGATACATTGATCCAGCAGCTTGGATGCTAATAAAGTCACGGCAACACGGAAGCGTGAAAGCAAGTGCGAGGTAGTGCGCATCACACCAGGCTAGGGCCCCCAGACGCACATCCACTGTTCCGTCATCAACAAACATTCCTGGGAACCTTTTCGGGGACGAGGGCTGTCGAGTCTAGAAGGTGACCTCAGGGATCCCTTCGCAGTTCCACAAGACAACGGCAGAGAGAGAGAGAGAGACACTCCCCTGGTGCTCACAGCAGACGAACGGGGAACAAGCAGGCTTCGGGGTGGGGTGTTCAGGCAGGCAGGCCCTCAAGCAGTGTCGTGCGAGGTTCGGTGTGGTTCGGGATAAACGCCGGACAAGGCATGGAGGTTGGGTTAAAGGTGTAGCGGGGACAGACCTCAGTAGTCTCACGCCGACTTGCGCTGGACGCTGGACGTTTCGAGCCCCTTTGGGGGGAGGCACTGCGGTGCCTTAACTCATGAACAAGCAAGCAAGCAAGTGAGAGAGAGAGAGAGACAAAGAGAGAGAGAGAGAGAGAGATATGTTCTTGTTGTTTTAGAGAGCCGCATGCATACGCCCACACAACACGTTTTCTGGCATGCAAGGCCTGCACTCGGACCGGCTCAACTTGCACATGAACCACGACAAGGATGCCGGAGTAGCTGTGCAGGAACCTTTTCTGTGACCAAGCTGAACCAGTTGAACGAGTCAGTCATTGGTCCTCATTTCCGGTTACACCCTCCAGCAGGCTTTGTTTGTCAATATGTCATGGCTCAATTTCGCAGGAGTTGAAGTGGGGGTGGGGGAAGGGGTAGGGGTTGGTGTAGTAGCAGTAGCAGCAGCAGCAGCAGCCGCGGCAGAAGTAGCAGTAGCAGTAGTCGTAGTCGGAGTCGTAGTAGCAGGGGTTGATAGTAGTAGTCGCCGTCGTCGCCAGCATATCAGGAGCTCTTGGCATTGCAGCAGCTTGGTGCTTCTCACGCAGATGCCACTGCGGCCTGGGCCGCTAGCGGCGGAGACCTGGCACCCCGGCCTGCGACTGATTGCGTTTGTTGTTTGGGCCTGTCTTGGGGCTTTTTTCCAAGGCTGCATAAGCACAGACTTGTTGTCGCCGCATGGTGTGAACATCAGCAGTGAAGAGCAGTAGCCTGATCAGGATCGGCCGATGCACTGACGACCTTGTGGCTCAAGCGAACGCAGAAAAGCCCGAGCTTACTGCTTTCATGACATTGCGCTGTCATTTCATATTGGCAGCGGAGCCTCGAGCTCGCATTCAGGGACCTTAGCCGTCACTGACTACATAATCCGGAGGCGGTTCTTACTTAAGAGCGTAAGCCCTCACCTTGTCCGGCGCCATGGCGTTGCTGGAAGGACTCACGTGGTCCAAGTTCATGGAGATTTCGTCTGAGAGTGAATCTACTGAGGGGAAGTACGGCATCCCGCGCTACGACGGCAACGTTCACCAGCTCCAAGAGTACACGTACCGGGTGAAGTTGCGCGAGATGAAGGAGAGCGGGATGGAAGCAAACGAGCTTAAGAAGCTCGGCCCACTAGGCATCCGCCTGGTGGAGGGCCTGAGAGGACCCGCTTTGCATGTCGTTCGGGAGATCGCCCCCGAGGACCTCGCTACCCCGAAGGGCCCTGGCCTTATCATCAAGAGCCTCACCTCAGCACTGAGACCGAGAAGAGAGCAAGAAGCGAGGGAACTCTACAAGGCAGGGGCGAAGGAACACGGGCCTCTCAGCCGGCAACATGGAGAGCCAATGTCGATGTATGTCCTCAGGAGGAGGACATGGTGGTCTCTACTTCAAGATCTCGACGGGGCTATCCGGTTGCCTGAGGAGATGCTAGCGGAACAAGTGCTGCAGAACAGCAAACTGAGCGACGACCAGGTCCTTATGATAAGAACGGTGGTGGGCAAGAACCTCACCGTGGCCGCCGTTTGCGAGGAACTTGTGGCACAGCACAGCGGCATCCACAACAAGGAGCGCCGAGGTGGTTTCCCGACCAAGGGCAAGAACTACGGAGGCAAGGGCTCCTTTCGGAGCTTCTCCAAAGGCAAGGGCTATGGCTACCACGCGGAACTGCCGGAGGATGGTGATCACAGCTTCCCCGACGAGGCCTATCACACCTGGGACGCCTACAGCCAGAGCCTAGGCGGTTTCGATGACGAGGTGACTGCCTACTACCAGGGTGCGACCCAGGACTATGACTACGTCGAGGAGGATGAGGCGATTCACAACGCCTTTGCGGCCCTGGTCCAGGACGGCTTTGACGAGAACCAGGACCCGGAGGCGGCTGAGTATGCGGCAGAGCTTTTGCAGGCAGAGGGCGAGGCCTATGTGGTTCGTCAGCAGGCAGCTCAGCGTGGACACTCCGGCTTCCAGGGCAAAAAGTATGAGTTCCGCGGGGAGATGAGCATCGAGGAAAGACGGGCCCGCATTAGCTCTCTCAAGGAGCGAACCACCTGCAAGCGGTGCGGCCAGAGAGGGCACTGGGCCAATGACGCCTCTTGCCCCAAGGGCTCCGGAAAAGGCAAGCGCCACAAAGGGGCCGCTTCGAGCTCTTCTTCGGGAACCACGACTACAGCCAGCAAGGGCAAGAGCAAGTCTAAAGATGGCTCGGCGAAGCCGCGCCCAGTCTACTTTGCCATCTCCGAGCCTGTGCCTGCGGCCCCGGCGGCGATGATGGCAGAGCGCCCCAACTACAACCAGGTGCCGCCACCGTCCTCCTTGGACACCGAGCAAGGGGCGCCTCGAGCGCGCTCTTCTTTGGATGGGGTGGCGCCACCGGCCACTCTTTCGTCTTTGTTGGCTTGGACGGGCAGCCGGCCAAGGCAAGCCGAGGACAAGAAGGACAACAAGGACTTCGGGACCAAGGCCGCGAACTCCTCGGCGCCTTCCCGCGCAAGCTCGGCAATGGTTGCTGTGGATCGGGCAGCTTTGGCGGAGGCACCTAGCGGGGCACCGTTTGCCGGTCAACTTGTTGAAGGTCTTGACCTGGACCAGGATATGCTGATCCGGGCTCTCCGCGCCAACAGCGACGTGGTGCTGGACCAGATGATCGCGGAGGCCCGGGCCATGGACACGGCCGATGATGAAGGACGGCTTCTTCTTACTCAAGGGCCCATGGCTGAGCCGGTGGAGCCTTCTGAAGGAGCCTCTCCCTCAGAATCGTGGCTGGAGGCGGGTCCCGAGGCGGCCGAGCATGCAGAACCGGCCGCGAACACCGCCGAGCCCAACCAGACGGACGTGGCACCAGCGCCAAGGTGCCTGCACGAGAGGACAACGACTAAGGGCACCAACCGCTACTACTTCATTCGAAGCTGCCTGGACTGCAAGATGACCCTCGAGCGCACCAAGAAGGACCAGCCCGAGAGAGCACCCGAGGGCAGGACCCCGTTCAAGCACAGCCCGGAATCCTGCTCCCACCTCAATGTCACCCGGCAAGGCACCAACGCGCACACCTGGAAATGGTACTGCAAGGATTGCGGCACCCGCCGGGAAGGAAGACAGGGAGACGCTCAGGCCGGCAACTTCGGAGAGATTCTTGGTGGATCGTTGGCGGGAAATTTTGCCCAAGGACCGGACTCTCATGCGGTCAAAGTCATGGAGCTCGCCGGCACCGTGGTGATGGTTCAGGAGAGCGGCGGCATCCCGGTGCACCTGGACCGTCTTCCGGGGATTGTGCAGAAGTGTGCGGAAATCTACCGTCAAAAGGCGGGCCCTGCAGCTGCGAGTTCCTCTCTGCAAGCCCCGCCGATCCAGCCAGGACCGGCGCCGCCCGACCGCGGCAGCACGGATACCAAGGTTGTCCGGGACATGACGGGCGACCCGAGCGAGGCGGGAATCTCAGATGATACCCGCCTGCAGTCGGGCAAGTACAAAGGAAGAAGCTTCAAGGAGGTGTACGACCGCTACCCGGAGTACAACGACTGGGTGCTGGCACAAGGGGGCAACTTGGTGGCCCGAACCCTTCAAGACTTTCACCGCTATGCCCTAGCCCGCCGGCGCCAGGAACATGAACAACGCCGCGCCTATATGGTTGCGAACCCGGCTGTCTCAGAGGACTTCCTCCTTGCCGTGCTCGATTCGGGGTGCAACCAAACGTGCCACGGCGAGCGGTGGATACGCAAGTACTTTGAGGCTTGCGGGCAGCCCTATCAGCCGCTCGTTGCCGATGATGCCCGCAGCCTTCGTGGAATCGGGGGCCAGGTCAGGGCCCTCGGAAAGCGCGTCTTGCCTATTGCTCTTCAGTTGGCTGACGGCTCCTTTGCACAGGGCACCCTCGAGTCAGTGGAGCTTGAGGACTCAGACGCGCCACTCCTCATGAGCAGCCGCGCCCAGAAGCAACTTCAGATCGTCCTCGACTTGGGCAACATGACGGCCTACAGCCGGCTCTTTGGAAGCTCCCTGGAGCTCGTCGATCGAGATGGTCTCCCTGCCGTGCACCTCTTGCCCCTACATGATGGAGTCAATTCACAGTTTGCTATGTGTGCCGAGGCCCCCAAGAATGATCCTTCCGGGCTCGTGGCCCTCGAGGACGCTGAGGATGAGGATTTTTGGCAGGAGCAAAACGGAGTTTGGGTCCGGGTCCACGTCAATCCACGACCACGGCTTTATGATCCTCGCCTTGAACCAGGCAGCGACCCTGACATCACCGCCAAGATCCTGGAGATGACGGCCCGGAGGACGGTGATCCTGCCTCCCGGTGCGGAGGAAAGCCTCGAGTTTCGGGACAAGTGGGCCGACCTTCGGCCCGAGGACCTAGACACCACGGACTATGTGGACGGACCCTGGCGAGGCTATACCTACTTCTACCGTGATTACAACCACCTCTATGAAGAGGAGGACGCACCTCAACAGCGGGACGGCGAGCCGGGCCCCTCAGGGATGTACGCCGCCTTTGATGAGGAGAAGCCCGTGACGATGAACAAGGCCCAGAAGAAGGTGCTCCAGGACAACAGCCAGGCTATGCGACGGGAGGACACAGCCATGTGGTCGGAACTTCGGG